ACCGACTGCAAAGCGGGGTTTGCTTCAGCCGTCGCTGCCAGAAAACGTGAGAAGCTCAGCCCAGTAATGGGCTCCGTTTCTCCTCGCGGATTTAATTTTTAATTTTTTAATTCTTTGAAAATTATCGCACACTTCCTTGAAATTCTTAATTGGAGCTCCCTGGTTTTCTCCTTGCTAAGTGCTTGAAACGAAGCAAGTTCTTCTACCCTTTGTGGGCTTATTTCTAAGCACTCTGTAAATCTCCTGCAACTAGGTTGCATTTTTCATCTGTGTTTGGGGGTTTTTTTGGGGGGTGTTTTACTTTTTGTAGGACATCATGGTGTCCGTGCGGATTTTTAGAATACGCCTGCTGTTCTGCTTTCTGGCTGCGTTCTTCATCTCTGCCCTTGCTGAGGAACACGTAGGAGAGAGTCAACATGCAAATATTCGCCTTGATAAGAACTTGGTACAAGATAAAGAGTATGTGTTCAATGTTCTAAAAACGTAAACTTTACTTCTTAATGATTTGCTTATCTTTTAAGTCTTGTTATGTGAGTTGGACTTAAGCCTGGGGCACATGTTTTCTCAGGATGTTGTATGACTAGCTGGAGATACGAGACATGCTTGCTTGATAAGTTTTACTAGACCTAGAAAGGTCTCTCTGGAGTCTTTAGACCTACTCATACTGTAAAGAATTTCTTACAGGAAGCCTGCTTACCTAGATCAATATACTATAGACAAAATCATATTCTGAACAGGTAAAGTGAGAGTTTTTTTCTCATTTGCTGTTTCATATGGTGGTAGCACCAAATCAAACTCCCTAGAATACTTCATGTTTGGACTGGGAAAGATCTTCATCCAGTTCCTGTGGTTTGGAAGACAGCCAAAAGGAGACTTTGGGCACTGTTTCAGTTGTTTTGATAACCTGCTAAGTAGGCCAGAAGAAAGAGAAATAACTAAGATAATAGAGGCCACTGCAGCGCCTGTAGTAAAGAACCTTTGTGCCCCCTTCATCTTGGTATAAAACTGTAGCTTTCTGTTGTCCAGGATGCTTTTAAAGATACAATATTTCCTGTGTACTTGACTGTCTGATCAAAGACTAAATCTGAGGTAAACAGAACATTAAATATTAACTGACGGACATGTTGTGGGTTTGGTTTTATTTTATTTTATTTTATTTTTTTAGCCACATCATGGAACATTTGGAAGGTGTTATTGAGAAACCAGAATCTGAGATGTCTCCACAAGAGTTGCAGCTTCATTACTTCAAAATGCATGATTATGATGGCAATAATTTGTTAGATGGGTTGGAACTTGCTACTGCTATATCACATGTCCACAAAGAGGTGGGTGAAATTTTGTAACGGCATGTGCGTTTGGAAACAGTTCTGACACTCTAAAAGCAGCTTACAGTAGAACAGAACAGTTATAACACTTCTTCAGTGCAGTTACAGTTTCGCCTGAAAATGAGATTATTCTTCCCCCGATAGTTTTGGTTTGATTTATAAATGTGCTAGCTTTATCACAGCTTTTCATGTCACATCACAGTTTTCGAGAAGTCTCCATTGTAGTTCAACCTTCAGAGCAACGAAGGACTGTAGCATGAAAATGATGTGACAGAGGGGATACTTTGGTAGGCAGGGATGAGGAGAAAAGGAAGTTACCCAAAATGGGATAATGCTGATGAGGGTTTATAGAAATAGCATGTGAAACGATGCTGTTCAAGGTTCTAAGGATTCCATTTTCAACTCCAAACTGTTATTGCTGTGGATACACCAATTGTAAGAGACCTCTTGCACAAAATTAGTAATAGAACCACCAGACACGGTCTGCCTTTTTTTTTTTTTTTCACCTTTTTCTAAACACAAATTCTTTTTCCAGCTAGGAACATTTAAGGACAAAGTAGGAAGACACAATCCTTAGGAAGACGATAGCAACACGTTATCTCTACTGACCTTTTGGAAGTTACAATTCAAAATATCATAACTACCTGTGTACACCTGTAGCAAAAAAATACCTAGCCAAGAACAGAGTAATGATTTGCTGTTACTTGTGCAAAGGCACCTCTTTGTAGTCCCCTTTGCTTATAAGGGATGATGCTAAGAATTTTACTGACTTTAAGCTACAGTGTTGGATTTTTTCCCTACTCTCTTACTGTCAAGCTCTGCCTTTTGCAAGTCGTGATGCACAGGAAGATGTTTTTGTACTGTATGGAAACTATAGTGTCTATACTATGTCAAGATCCAAATTAAGAATACATCTGTTAGATTATTATCTATCACTGTACACTGTGCTATTTAGCTTTTAGAACTTTTGGCTAAGAATACTAATGGGATATGGAGTTCTTCTGAAGTGCAGAGAACTTGGACTTCATTGCTTGCACCTGATAGAAGTTGTCTGTATTGGTATAAATGATTACATAAAACTTAGTGCCAAATTAGGCACCAAACATGAATAGCTTAACAAAAAATTAGTTGTTAGTAATCTGTTGTATGTGCCACTATACAGGAAACACTGCTAAACTGTCCAATGTGGTTTTGTTTTTGTAGGAAGGTGGTGAGCATACCCAGGCAATGAAGGAAGAAGAGTTGATTAGTCTAATAGATGATGTCTTAAGAGATGATGACAAGAACAATGACGGATACATTGACTATGCAGAATTTGCAAAATCACTGGAATAAGGTTTTGCAGGGGGCTTGTTTCTCCTTCTAACTACATGGAAATGTGAACCAGTATAATGTGATTCATTACTGTCTCATATCAACTTTTGTGCTGTGAGAAGGAGAGGTGTACCAGTGCCAGCTGAATTTATTTGAAAGTTCTGTATGTTAAGAGACCGGCTAACTGAGCGAGAGCCATGTTTGACTAAACATAGCTATCCATTTGAATCTTGAAGCATGGAAGCATCAACAGTACTCACATGGAGTACAGCTGGCAAACTCTTAAGTAGCCGTGTATGAATACTAAATACATCGTATACAATCTACATTTCAGGTTTTCTGTCATTGGGTTATATAGTACTTGGTTGCCTACATCTTCTATTTAAGCTTATAAAATGCCTAGAAAGCAAGAAAAGATTACTGCATATAGTTGTATTTCAAGGATAAATATCCTTACCTTCCCACTAATTTCAAAGGAAATATGCATATAGGTACAGGTGCTTGAAACAGCAATTGTAGAGGAAAAGCAGTTGAACGTGGTTTATGTTTGAGGTCCACGTGATGCCATACGGCCTTTAACACAGTTTTGGAAGAAATTGAGTATTTTTCAGTATATGTATGTCCTAGCATACCCTTACATTTTACACAGGAATATACGTACATGTGTTTTTCAATTTCTTCTTGTCCTTCACAGTTTTACTTTTTAGATATTAATTTACTGGATTTTTTTTTTCTCTACCTTCCATGGTGTTTTCTTAAGAAAATGAAAGTGGTTTTATTACATTTATATGTTGTATTAATGCTGTGTAGCATTTACTAGAGTAACTTCTGCTATCTCGTTTTGAAGGTCATGTTAACAGTAAACGAGTTTAATATAAAAGCTTCTGTTCAATTTGGTTTTTACAGTATTAGCCAGCAGGAGAATCTAAGTGAGCAAGTAATGCTGCCTTGTTAAGGTTTAAGTTCATATTCCTTGACACTTAAATTACGGTATTTCTTTCAGGAGGTATTACTTAACTAGCAGTTTCAAGATCCTTGAGTGTGTGCAAATTATACATGGTTCTAGGAATGTTTTCACTGTCTTGACTCAATACTTGATCAGTCAAGCAGGTTAAGGATATTGGAGAAGTGATGTATTGCTGTGTTATTGATACTTGGTGACTAAAACATAACTGAAATCTTAAATTGTATTCAATTGTTATCCATTCATAGAGAATCTAAATGTTACTGTATTTCTGTAAAATGTATAAAGAGCTATTTTCTGTACAAAATTATTCTTATACAAGAGAAACACATTTGTAGAAGAAATTATTTCCTCTGTTTAAATGTTTGTGCAATGAATCCTGAGTGTCGGACTTTTTTGTTCTTGTACTAATTATTTAATTCGATACCTTTGCGGCCAGGGTTGTGCTGGTTGTACAAGCAATAAAAATAAGTTGGGGCTCGCACACTCTGAAGCTAGACACACAAGGACAGAAGTCCCAGTGAGAAACACACATGATTTTCTGATGTATTTTTAAGCCTGTCTCTGTTACTAGCAGTCATCTAAAAAGAAAATTCTTTCAGTTAAAGCATTTTTTTTAAGAACTGTTTTGAGGGTAACTAATCTGGACTGAACACTGAATCAGAAGTAGGATAGAAGATGCTTGTGGGTAGGAGGGGAGAAGAGGTTAAGCTCCTCAGCTTAGAGCACTTAAAGCAGGTTGCCTGTAGACCTGCCAACTCTTGTACGCTTATTGCATAATTGGATTTATTTTGGATGAAAGAGCAAGACCAGGGGACTGACTTTTATGCACTGCTCTTAAAAATCATGGCTTTCTTATCAAGTGCAGTTCATAAACTTAAGCCAGCAACCAACCATGGGGCACATTTATATACGTATGTTGCATTTATATACATATTTATTAACTGCTATTGTATGTGGCAAATAGCACACACCATGGAAGCTTGTATCAGAAGAAATTACGGTAAACAGATAATGAGAACAACATTTTTTTACCAGCTATTTTAAACTTGTTTTTAAGGGGTCAAATGTCTGTATAAATAGATTATTTCTCAAAAAGGGAGAACAAAATTGACACCTTTCATTTCATGATGTATAAAGAAGGATCAAAACAAAGTTTGTGCATTACTAGAAAGAACAGAAATGCTACCCAAGCTGAAACCTGCATCATCATGTCTTTACTCAGCCTCCTAAAACAAATACGCATACAATTAAGTGCACTTAAAGATAAATGGTTTAACAGCTGTCTAGGGAGCTTTTTCAGTTATTATGTAGAAAACCGCAAAACTGCTGAGAGCAATGGTGAGTCAAACATTTAAAAAAAAAAACAACAAACTAATTTGTGTGCTAGTTGTAGTTCATGCAATACCCTAACTATGCTGGTACAGGTCATATATACATACAGTATTTTCTAGTTCATCTATATATAATATAGAAAATAAGGCCTTTAGACAGAAGTACTCATCAACTATAAAGCTGTTTCATTTAGCTTCTGTAGAACAGTACTCTCTCCTTTTCATGGGTAACAAATAAATAACAAAGCAGAAGGGGTGTATGACTTACTGAAGGTCAATCACATCCCTGGCAGAAACAGAAAACCAGGAGAATGCCGTAGTGTGCAATCTTCACCTCTTCCCAGTCTATGCTCTCGGGGAACAGGGATTAGTTCTCCCCGTTAGAGGAGAACACATCTGGTGTTGCATTACTCTATACTATGTGCCCAGTTTAAAGTACCTAGATTATCTGCTCACAAAATACTGCACATTCTAGCAGCTAAAGAAAACTCTTAAACTTGTTCTTGAAACACTCCTAAACTGAGCTGGTTTTTATGAGCTGATCTAGAACATAGTCTGTATATGAAGGAGAAAAATCTTGACTGCTTGTCCAGTGCTTGTCAGAATGCTGTTAATGACGAGAATGACCGTCGAGAACATCCCAGCAACAGTTTTGTCTGCATATTCATGCAGACTGTACTACCTTTTTTTTTTTTTAATTAATCACTTATAACCTCAAAATAGCTTAGATTCATTAAAGAACGGTTACAGACTTACAAACCCTGATTTCATCTAAAGTGTTTTTTAACACTACAATTCGCAAGCAGAAGAACAGATTCAGGAATACTGTCATAATCGATACAGCCACTAGATAGCGTATTGACACTGCACATTTGTTCTTCCCTACACCATCACCCCTGCTCTGATTACAGGCAAGGCTTGCTCCTGTGTCTTCCAACACCACATTGCCAGTATGATACCCGCATTTTCAGTAGTTTATACCCGTCATAAAAATTGACCATAGCTGGGACTGGTTACTGGTTATTAATTTTAATTGTTTAGGGAATCCAAATCAACTTGAAGTGATAGAAAGAAACTTGCACTGTAATGTTTTCTGTAAAAAAAGGAGAGCTTTCTAATATAAGCACCAGGCTTGGCCTGCCTTCTTGACCGTCTCTAGCTGACCTATGAGAGGGTCCATGAGGTGCCTACAGTGGTCTTGACCAACATTAAAGAATATTAGAGGGGTTTAGTAGCACCTGAAGTTTTAGTGGTTTTGCATTCGATGTCAGTAAGAGCTTCTGGCACTGTTCTTACAAGGTATAGGTCCACTGTGGTCTGATCATCCATTTTTGCTTAAGGTGAAGCTTATTGCTTTTTTCTTCCTTTCCCTTGTTACGGTCTCACTGTCTGGCCATTGCACCATGAAACAGCTGCATAATGTTCTAAGTTTTTAGCAAACAAATTAGGGCAAGAATCATTGCATACCTCAGTCTGGATTATTTATTATCACAAGGAATTTGTGTTCTAAATGTTTCATCAGCACAGATCCTCTGTCCACATTGAATGAGATCCATTATAAGGGCACTTATTAATGCCTTACAGAAGGTTTCTCTGAAGTTACATTTTTCTTCTCATTCTTCATGCTAAATTCTGAACAGCAGCCCAAACCTTAAGGGCTAATACATACTGTAATTGTCACTACCTTCCTCAGCTGAGCGGCAGTTACACGTGTAGGTAGAGGGCACTGTAACATATGACTCAAAGTCTTCTGCCAGATATGACATTTTACAAGAAAACGGTACTGCAGCAAACATAATGTCAGCTTCTGCCACTTGATCCAACTGAGTGACTGACAGCACTAGATTTCAAAAAGGCAGATGTCAATAAACTTGGAGAATGGGTAGGGAGCATCTCATAAGAGGCAAATCTAAGGGGAAAATAAATTATGGAGAGCTGCCAGCTCCTTCAAGAAATGCTAATAAGAAATCAAGTGCAACCTATGCCATTTTAGAGGAAAGTAAGGAAATTCATCAGAAATCAGCTAATTCACCACCTTTTAATTGTCTGCAAGCATAAAAGAGAGAGATACCTGTAAAGTAGAAACTAGGTCAGCTGGTTGAGAATCCAGCACAATACTCCATTCATGGGGGTGTTAGGGAGGTGTTCATGGGCTGTTAGGGAGGTGTATACAGTTTGTAAAGACAAAATGCAGAAGCAAAACTTACCAAAGGTAAAAGAAATTTTAAGAGAAAATTTAAGAGAAAAATGTAAGAGAAAAACAAAGGGAAGTTTGGACCACTACTCAAAGGTGAGGGGGTCCTATCAGCAGAGGACATTAAGGAAGCTGAAGAGTTCAATGTCCTTTTTTGTTCCCTTTTTCATCAATTTTTACTAAAAAGGTCAACAGCAAGCAGACAGTGAAATTATTATCTGGAAAAGGGGGCAAAATTTCAGCCTAAAGTATGCAAAACCTGCTTAGAGAGTAACCAGTTAAGTTAGATGTTTTCCAGTTGCCTGGGCCTGATCAACTTCACTCTAGAGTCTTAAAGAGAGGGTGAAGTAATGGCTGCAGATGTCATATAGCTTGAATTTATTTATTTTATTTAATTTCTTGCAAGGTCTTTAGCAGTACTTCCTATAATATACTCATGAACATCCTAGTGAACTGTGATCTAAATGAAACTGCTGTGGGAAGGGGCAGGAGGTCAAGTCTGGTTGGGTGATTGTGTCCATGGGGTAATTCCATCGTAACCTATCAAAATACATGTGTTTTGCAATGAATTCTGTGGGCCTTGGTCCCATATCAAGTTTTATTTGATGTTTTCATTGAAGGAATAGAAGATGGAACATGAAGTATGATTTTTAAACTTGCAGATGGAGCAAGAAAGGACTGCAGATATTATAGATGCTAAAAGATCAGAATTTAAAATTATCTTGATATATTTAGAGAAGTCATCTAAAATGGATAGAATGCAATAGTGCGTAATACCATGCTTACACAGAAATACTCATCTGTACTTGCATAACTGTCTACGTACCAGTTCACAAGAGAAAAATCCAGGGACTGCTGTGGAACAAGCTGAACATGAATGGCAAAGCCCTCACGTTGGGATGTCTAAAGGGTCTTAAAGACTACTGAAAGATTCTGTGTGGGCTGATCCCCACTGTTAAAGATTCACCTGGAAGACCATGTCCTGTTTAGTGTACTGCACTTCAAAAAAGGTATGAACTAGTTGGCAAAAGGCCAGAGGAGA